GCCGAGGTCGAGGGTGTGCTCTATCTTGCTAAGCAGCTCGTCCACCTTGGGCAGCACCTCCTGCTCCAGCTGCTCGAACCCCGCCTGGTTGTTGCCCTCCATCATCATGTTACGCAGCTGGTGAAACGCACCCTTGCGAGGGTAGTTGCGGCGGGGCGCTGGCGTCTGGCTCCGCGGGCTGTCGGGTGACGAGTTCTCGTCGGGCGAGGGGGCGCGGGGACGCTTCTCGGCACGCTGGATGGGTGGGGGGGTCACCTCGGCTGCCGCTGCTGCACTGGCCGGTGCAGCTGAAGCGGAAGACGATGCCTGTTGCTGGTGGGGGATCTGGGGGTTCTGATGATCTTCGTGGGCGGCGGCGTTGGTGGATGCACCCTCACCAGGCTGCTGAAGGGAGGGGTTCGTGTGCCCGACAGCCCTGCGAGGACATCACAGGAGACACCACGCAGATCTCGTTGAAATGCGTCCATGGAATCCGCTTTCCTTCCATAAAATGCTCATCTGTGCCCTCCGGCCCTCCCCTGTGTGCCCCTTCTCACCGTCTGTTGCGTCTGGGCTGCGGTGCAGCCCCCGAGTCGGGATTTGTGTCCTTCATGGCCTTCTGCGACGCGAGTGAACCGTCAGAGTCGTGATGGGACCGTTGAAATAGCGATAGGTGGCCTGGAAAATGCAGCGCAGGTCACCCGACAGGCCTCCTCTACTACAGGTTATGCCGCCTTGGCTGCCTGGACGACAAGTGGCTGGAAAGGGGCAAGGGAACCGACCTCGATGCACATCAATGCTCAACGAAACACGCTGAGCGACCTAAAAGGCGAGGGAGAAAGAAATTTTGTTTGCGAGCTGTTGGCGATGTTTCGCTTTCTCGCCGAGACTTGGGGGTTGCCGTCTCGGCCTTTTTTTCGCACCGAAGTGTTTGAAGCTTCCTGACATTTCCTCTGCCTCCTTCTTCTCTTCCTGCGCCGTGACACGCGGCCATTTCGTCATACTTCCCCCGCTAAGCCTGCGCATGGCTCGTTGGTGGCGCACGGTGGGCTCACCGCGCAATCGACGGCCACCGGCAGCATGGACAGCATCGACCGACAAACACAGGTACCAGGATGAAGCGCTCTCCTGAGAACTGTTCTCAAATCAGCCTGTGTTCTCTCAGAGAAATCTCGCCCTGCGGAAGGGCACGTTTGCCGTGAGGAGGACACAAAGAGGGCGAACATGGCGACTCCCCTGCGCGCCAGTTGCGCTGTCAACTGGCGCACGACGAGCGGCGCAGAGAGGAGGAGGGACGACACGGAAAGCCAAAGCGGGGAGGGACTTGGGGAGGGATGACGTGGTGGTGTCGGGCCGCTTTCGCATGGTCTTGAGCCTCAAAGACAAGAAGATTATATTATGCACCAAGAGCGCACTTCTCTTTCGCTGTCCACATGCACCGGTGACGCTTGGACCCTCTACGGTGGGTTCGACTGTCACCGTAGGACCATGCATGGCGCCGCCTGACATCTGCAAAGCTGAATGTGGACTTGTGTGCGTTGCACAGGCGTTGACGGGCACCACGTCAGTGCGTTTGTACGCCAGCACCTGCCTCCCTTCTGCTGGCGGACCCCCTGTTCGACGAGGATCCGGCGCAAGCACTTCGGCGGGCGTTCAGACAGGTAGTCACATATGTCCAGACATTAACGCACATGTGATGCCACTGGGTGTGATGCTCATGTGCGTGACGATGTGTGTCTTCAGGCGCACGACAAGGTGGCCCAGCATGGGCGGCATGACGACTCGTTCAACACCACTATAAGTGGAACCACGGCCGGCGTGGCCCTCCACAAGGCCAACAAGGTCTTCATCGCCCACGTCGGGGACTCGCGCGCCATCCTGGGTATCAAGACAAACGACAGTAAGACACACGAGCAGTGAGGGCGGCGAGGGGGCAAAATGAACCTATGTTGACGTATTTTCCTCTTTGCATTCCAATTCAGGCGAGTCGTTTGTGGCGGAGACACTGACCCAAGACCACCACCCACGGCGACCGGACGAGAAGGAGCGCATTCGGGCGGCAGACGGCCTGATCGGGCGCTTTCCAGGCGAGGAGAGGATTTCAGAGGTGAATGAGTGATGTGTTGGCAGCGGAGATGAGATCAGATGAGATGAGATGAAAGCATTATACCCTGCACTGTCTCTTGCACCTTTGTGTGTGTGTCAGGACTCGCCATGTCACGGGCCATTAGCGATGTGTCGTGGAGCAAGGAGGGCGTGATCCCCGACCCTGACGTCGCGTAAGACATATAATCACAAGCAGAGATGGCTTTGATAAGACATGTACACTTGTTCTTTGTGACGACTTTCAGGGAGACGACCATCGACGCCACCCATAGGTTCATTATCCTATGTAGTGATGGACTATGGGACGAGCTGTTGGCATCTGCCATGGCCGATGTGGTCGGCAAACAAGGACCGGAGGGCGCGCAGAAGGCAGCAAGCACGCAGAGCCAACAACATCATGCCATATGCGGATGTTTTCTGCATGAAATCGCATTCTGCAGTCTCATGGTGTTGAAGGCAAGAGCATCGGCCACGGCCCCACCCCCCGTCGTCCGAGCCCTCTACGACAACAAGCTAAGGGGCGGCACATTTCAAGCATACGTAGATGGTACCCACTAACACACACATAAGAGGAGACGGCCGATGTCATGGCATTCACTGCTTTTGTGTGTGTGCAGACATGACGGCCATTGTGGTGTGGTTGTCGCCGCCCGAGCAGGTTGGTGTCCCCGCCCGCCTCCGTGAAATCGTGTTCGAGTACTTGAGGCAGTGGCCGCCTCCTAGTGGCGAAACACCGCCATCAACGCTGCTGGACGAGGGCCTGCCCCGTCAAGACATCACCAACCTGCTCGAGGACCTGGTGACGAGCCTGCAGCAGCGCTCCCCCACAGCAGATGACACCCACCAGCCACCAGCAGAGGGGAAGAAGACGGCCACCCACGGCAGAAGAGCCGTCAAGCCCAGGAGGAGACCACCAAGACGAGCTGCAGCACAGGGCGCCACCACACCAGCGCGCAACAAGGGTACGACGCCCCTCAGACAGTCGATGGGAGGCAGAACGGGTGGATCATTTGGATACGTGCAGTCCTCCTCTTTGCTGATGGGCGGTGTATGTGTGTGTGTGTAGGTGGCACGGCGGGAGAGTCGGCTGCACCACATTCAGGGGAGGGCTCCCTGAAAACCTGGCTGGCGAAAACGATGCCGTGAGATGGGCGGGAAAGACACAGGGTACGCGGTGCATATTACCGATTGTGTGTTGCCCTTTCTCTCAGAGTAAGTCCACTTTCGGCCAAGAAGACGACGTCCGGGCGATCTGAATTGGCCAAGAGACTACGTAAGACTAAGATAGCAGCATTTGAGCTCATCACGATGCATGTGGCTGGGCAGGCGAGTCGCTTCTGCGACAGAAGGAGCCTAAGGAGCTCCCCCAATCAAGGCAAAACACCACACCACGTAAGCACAGCACCGGTACGAGTTTCTGGTGCATGCATCGCCTTCTCTTTGCAGCAGCCAAGGTGTGCCCGTCGGTAGAGCATCATGCCGTGTTCCGCATCATGGCCCCCACTCCCTATGACTACTTCATCGCACGCGACTACGCATGTTTCCGTGCAGGTGAGAGAGACATATCACGCCCACCATGAGACGATGTGCATTCGCCTCTCTCCTTCCTGCGTTTCAAATGCAGTTGGTGCGATGTCGGGGCCGGCGGTGGCGGCCACGACGCCCGGGGCGTGCAGATGCAGGCAGAAGTCATGTTGCTGAAGGGATGACGGGAGGGAGGGGGTCTGTCTATCAGCGAGTGGCCAGCTGCTAGACAAACGGATGGTTCATTGCTTTCGCATGACAACCGGCTGGCTGGATGGCTGGTGTGTGTGTTGGGATTTCTTCTTTGCCCACCTGACGGGCCGCCTGGCTGTCTGTCTGTCTGTCTGTCTGGAAGAGTGGATGGATGGATGGATGGATGGACGGCCGTGTGACGGCAAGGTAGAAGGCAGATCAGATCAGCTGAGATGAGAGTGTGCTATGCCTGGCTGACCGACGGCATGAGCCCTTGACGCACACGACGCAGCACCCTCCCACACGACGTCCGGTTGGCTGGCTGGCTACTTCGTCTCATGCTATCTCTCTGCCCCGTGAGAGTATGTGCGTTGGTCTGCGTGCAGACCAACCAACGCAGACCATCTGGCTGCCTGCCTGCCTGGCTGCCTCCCCGTGTGTGTGGGTGCATGATTGGCGGACACAGTCAACGTGACGGCGGTCCACATTACTATCAAAGATGTACGCTTGTAATGATGCAAGATCAACAGACAGACGCCCTGCAGTCTTCTCAACATTCTTTAACAGCATTTGCACGCCCCGCACCTCTCCCCATGTGTGTCGCGTCACGTCAGTCACTTGCCCTGTGCGGCCTTCCTCTCGAGCTGTTTCCTTTGCTGCGCGTCGAGGATCTTCTTGCGCATGACGATCCGCTTGGGCGTCACCTCCACCATCTCATCGTCCTGGATGTAGGACAGCGCCATCTCAATGGTGAAGTCTCGCGGCGGAGTCAAGGCAGCAACGATCTCCTGCACAGACAAATCATGCCCCACGCAGACCACCGACACTCTGGTGTGTGTGTCTGGGAATGGTCTTGGTCCTTTGTCTGCCTGCAGGAGCTCCTGCGTGCATTCGTACGTACCTTCTGTTTCTCCCTGCCTTTGTATTTGGGGTGCTCTTTGATGGCGTTCATGACCACGTCGTCTGGGTTGTTACTCTCACCCAGGATCTGACCCATGTAGATCTGACACACAATCACACACACACGCACATGGGAGGCAGGGGGGACGAGAAACATGCGCCGCACTCACCGGGACTGCATCTCTGACGAACAGAGTGCCCTTGGTCTGCAGGTCGACCAGCGCGAATTCGGTCGTCGTGCCTGCATGCACAGCACAACGTCAGAGCCAGCACATCGACACACACACGGTGGCCGAAGGTGTTTGCACAATAAATCTCTCGGTGGCCACTGACTGACCTGATCCAGCGGCGAGGATGAGCCCATTGCGGTCGAGCTTGATCGACGGAGCCTTCGGCCGATACTCAAGGAATTCTACACGCACGCAACAAGCACACAATGAATGAGTCCGCACATCTAGAGATTTTATACACGTACAGCGACCTGATGAGACGACGGCCGTCCCCTTGGTGACGTCACGCAGGAACGTCCGGACACCCAGGAAGTTCCTGTGGAACGGACACACAACAGGACACAAAGGAACAACAAGCAAACGAATGCACTGCACACACCCAACCGACCGACTGATTGACACGTAGGCACCTCAGTCCCTCACCTGGATGAGCAGTGGAATTTTATCCTTGAGTTGTCGCCGACGTCCCTCATGTCGACCAGGTCGGCCATCCTCTGGGACATCTTCTCAATGATGGCGGCCGAGGTGGACAGGGGCGCCTCGATGGTGAACTCCTCCCATGGCTCAAACACCCTGCCCTCGTCATCCGTCTGGTACACCACCGTCGGCTGCGTCACTTGCATCTACACACACACACACACACACAGAGAGAGAGAGAGAGAGACAGAATGCATGTGTGTGTGGGAGGGAGGGGGGTGGCTGAGGCCACTGACCTCGAATCCTTCCCTCCTCATGGTTTCGAGAAGGATGCCGAGCTGCAGCTCGCCGCGGCCCTTGAGGTTCACCCCGCCGGCCACCTCAGCCACATCGATGGCCACGTTGACCAACGCCTCCTTCCTCAACCGCTGAGCTATCGACTGCAGCGTGTTCTGAAGAAAAGAAGAAATGCATGATGAGTGGGTGCACAGCGTGTGTGGATGGATGTATGTGTGCATTCATTGTGTGCATGTGAAATATGTCTTACGAAGGTGCCGTCTTGTCCTGCCAGGGGCGAGGTATTGGGGCTGACCTCCACACAGATGACTGGAGGGTCGATCAACCTGCAGGCAATGCATTCACACAGACACAGACAGACAGGCCACAGAAACACGCATGAGTGAATTAATCAATGAACACGTCCGTGCCGTGTGTGGCGTCCTCTCTCTCCGCTGACCTTGCCGGAATGACGTCGAATTGTTCTTGTGTGGATATGCAGTCGGTGGCCTTGGGCACCGCACCCAGCACAGATATCGACACAATGTCCCCCGCGCCAGCCACGTCCGTCTTCTCCCGGGTCGTCCCGCGCACAATCGACAGATCGCGAAGCTTGGACTTGCCCGACAGCTGACCAAGCAAACCATAACACCTGTTCAATGCTGAACAAACCGATATGATGCCCCACATCGCTTCTCACCTTGTCTTCCTGTGTGCGATAATAGAGGTCGTTCTTGGCGTTGATGAAAATGCCGCTGTACACCTTGCCCGTCGCCGTTGGCCCGAACCCCTCTGCCTGCTCGATGAGCGACACCAGCTGCCTCGGGGGGTCGTTGTGCAGCTTCTGCGCCTCTGCGTTGGTGAGGGGGGGCGGGACGGTGCTGACGATGGCCTCGAACAGCGGCAGCACGCCCTGGGGATGCTCCTCATTCTTGATGCTATCCCACTCAGTCTCGACCCAGCCTGCACGTGCATGTGTGTGCCTCATACGAGGTGCGTGTGTGGCGTGGGTGTTAGTTAATGTAGCTACCATTCTTGGCTGACGCGTAAAGGACGGGATATTCCATCTGGTGGTCGTTGGCCTCGAGGCTCATGAAGAGATCGAAGATCTCGTTCTCGATCTCGCCGGGCGGACGCTCACCTGCACGTCGAGAGCAGGAAGACCACACACAAATGGACGCGGCGCGATGGTGAGTTGCCGATGCTCACTCACATGGCCTGTCAACTTTGTTGATAACGACAATCGGCTTCAGCTCGGGATTCTGACCGAAGACACACAGCCCATCCATCCATGGCACGTCTGCGCGCCTATCTGTGCGTACCAGTAATGCCTTTGAGAGCACAAATTTCGTTTGTGTGCGGGGTCCCTCCACGATGTCCACCACGAGGCACACGCCGTCGACCATCGACAAGATCCGCTCAACCTCTCCTCCGAAATCAGCATGGCCAGGGGTGTCCACTATCTGCAACAAACACCAGCACCAACTCCCTCCCTCCCTCCCTCCCTCCCTCTCTGACGCACCCAGGCTTACATTGAGGATTTTGTCCTTCCACGTGAGTCGTGTGCATTTCGACAGGATGGTGATGCCCCTCTCCCTCTCGAGGTCGTTCTTGTCGAGCAGCCTCTCCTGGTCCACACTCAGCCCCGACTGCCGCAGCAGCTGGTCGACCAGCGTCGTCTTGCCGTGGTCGACGTGCGCTATCACCGCCACGTTGCGCACCCTCTCGATCTCCACTGGCACCGGCCGTGGGCCTCTGCGACCTGCATACAGTGAGTGAGTGAGATGCAAAGAGAGATCTCATCAGCTTGGTGCATGAATTGAATGGATGTCTGTTTGCTGACTGACCTGCTGACAGGGCGAGTGACCGTCGCTGCGTGATGAAAGGCGGGAAGGGGCGAGGGAGAGGAGAGCTGCTGCAGAGAGCGGCAGCTCGTCTTGACAGTGACCCTAGATTGGAGGGCGAACAGGGCATCTTCAGATCTGGCGCGGGTGGGACTGGCGCACCCACCCTTCTTTCCTTTTGCTCTGGGCAGCGGTTTCACGGAATGTCGTCCCGAAAGCCCAATATTTCTTTACCCAACTCGTCTGGACATTTCTGAGACTGGCTTGGAGACTGGCATGCTGTTTCGTTGCCTTCCTCGAAGCAGTCTCTTCATAGATCCAGGCTCATTGGAGAAAAAGGTCACAACTCGTCTCACTGAGCCCCACGCCCCTGTCTCACTCACTGCAGCAGCTGGAACACTTCGATCTCATCGGCGAGAAACGCCCTCAACTTATGCTGATCCCATGCAGTCAGGCTCACCGTCTCCCATCTCACTCGCACCACACATCCCTCTGATGCCGAACAACTCAAGGTGTCTGGCGCCCACAGCCCCAGCCACTCGCGTGCAATCGTGTTCAATGTGTGAGAGCGGCCAACCATGAGCTTGGCACACGTGCTGTGGAGCTCGTTGTACCCTCGAGAGAGAGTCACACACTGCGCTTTGAGGAAGGGGAATTGAAAAGTAAGCGGCGAGGGCCCTGTGGCAGTGAAGACGAGGGCGTCCGCGTCGTAGCTCTTGAAGGTGTGGCGACGGCCTCTTTCTGGGTTGCGAGGAGGCTGCAGGCTGCTGGTGATGAGGCACCCGTCCATGTCTCCATTGGCCCGCACGAGGAACAGCAAGCAGCTTGCATCACCCACACGATCGAGCATGTTGGTATAGGCAAATCCGTGCACAGTGGCCCTGTAGTAAAACACACCAAGGAGAGGAGAACAGACAAGAGAAGACAACCATACGCAGAGGTGATCGACGGCTCTTACTTGTAGAGCAGCTCGATGCCTGTGGTCTGTTTGCCCGTCGTCTGCAGTATGGCCATCAGCTGAGCGGGGGATGCGATCACAGAGGGACTGGGGAGGCACGGCCCATCGCCATGCAGCCGCAGCATGGGCTCCATCGCCACGCCGTGTCTCTCCATGGCCGCCATGAGTGGTGCCTTGAGCCGTCGAGGCGCATAGGGGGGGTCGACCACAGTCATAGGCGCCGCAGCACGCATGCGGCCTGCAAAGTCGCTAGTTAGCGCCTCGGCTGAGACATTGGGAGGCAGAGAGGGGAAGTAGCGCTCGAACATCAAAGAGAGCTGGCGGACTGTCAGTTTCTTGTGCGCGCCTTCTGTGTTGAGCATATCATCGACTGATGAGTGGGCAAACGCTGCCTTGCGTAACTGATGAACAGAGACACAATGCAAGGAAGAATGTGCAAGTAGGAACTTTGAGATCTGCTCCCTTACGGCTCCAATGCGATCAGCCGCCAAGACGAAACGCAGCTGCCCATGCATGACGGTGATGCGGATCTGCTGGCTCCCAAAGCGGCGCTGTAAAGCGTTTTTGAGGGCATCCAGATGGAAGTGCTCTCGCAGGACCACCGTCAGCTGCGAGATGGACTCAATCTCGAGAACCGACCAGATGCTCGACAAAATGAAGACGCCTGGGTTGACGACATCGGCAGACGGCACTGAAATAAGCGATACACCCGATATAGTTCTCGTCCTCAGAGCAATGCGTGGGTGCAGGATCCATTTCGGGCCCCTTCGCACTTACCGTCGAGGTACATGACTAAGCTCTTGATCCGGGGGAGCTGGTGTCTATAATCGCCGGGTGTGATTCCCTCCCTCTCGTCCTCAGCTTTGATGAACTCGTGGCGACCCTCACACACGAAGCCCAGAGACACTTCATTAATTGCACCACGGCCAGCGTCAATGACAAGCTGACGCATCTCTGTCTCGGTCCCGCACATGGTCAAGCTATCTAGTAGTAGCAGCTGCTGTCTCCGACCTCCAAGCATCATCTTCGCCACCCCCAGGCCGATACGGTTCTTCACCACCAAACTTTGCACCGGCTCCAGTCTAATTTGGCTGACTGCTTTGAGCTCGGAAGGCTCATGTGCGATGCCATCAGCTGGCGAAGGCACACCGTCCGCACAGTCAATGGATATGCTGCAGCCTCTCACTCCTGGGCCCATAGTGTGGAAAGTCGGGCAGACGATGTGGCCATGTGAGGCGGCGAGGCGAACCTTGTACCCACTCAACAACGCATCGAGCAGTGGAAGGCTGCAGGCGGGCAGCTTGCCGAGGTCGACTTGGGTGTTGGCCAGCAGATGCGCGAGGGGGATGTCTCGCATCTCCGCGCCATAGGAAAGAACAGAGAAGGTGACCTTGGCCGATGGCGAGCAGGTCGCGTCGATGAATGAGGCGAGGGCCTTGAATCGTTGAGGAACAGCGAATGGCAGTCGTTGCGATGAAGCGATACGGACAGGGCGTCGAGAGACTTTGAACAGCCGCGATCCACCAAACACTTCTGCAAGCAAAAGGACAATCGAAGCGAGAAGATGTCTATGTCATGGCCTCGCCGCCCGCCGGTCTGTGTCTCTTCCTCTTATGTCCTTGCCTGCAGGTCCCGGAGGCCGTCTCTGCAGGCATCACTCGACTCCATCGTATGGAGTTTGATGCCGGTAATCTTTCGAAGCCTGGCGAGAGGGCCCGGGCTCCCCCGCTGCCCCACAGGGATGCAATCTAGCAACTCAGCCAGCTGCGATGGCGCCGGCAGGCCCCCATCCAGATCGACGAGGGATCTCGTGGTGGTGACGAATGGCCTGATGTCTACGATCTCAGTGGGCGAATCTGGTACAGACAGAGAAAGCCGCTCGACAGCCGGCATTGTCCATCCGCGCCCCTCGATCACGAAGTGGCCACGTCTGACCCCTTTGACGTGTGTAAGGGTCGGGAAGCTGATGGACTGAGGAAGGGCGGCAGCAGGAGGGGTAGAATTGATGGTGGCCAGCTGAGTGATCTCCGGAAATCCGCTGTCTGGAAGCACTACCGGCTCGAAGGTCAGTGACTTGAGCGAGCCCTCACTCATCGTTGTGGACTCACCGTTGATCGACCAGGGACGTCGATGTGACGATCAACGGTCGGATCTCCGCGACCTCAGAGACCGTGCATGGTGCAGACACCCGCTCGAAAGCCGGTGTTGTCCATCCCCGCCCATCACTCACGGAGAAGTTGCTGATGACGCCATTGACCTCTGTGGGGGCCGGCAGGCTGATGGACTGGGAAGGAGCGGCAGCAGGAGGGGCAGAGTGGATGGTGGTCAGCTGTTCAGCCTGGGGAAGTGCGAGGTCTGAAAACACCACCGACTCGAAGCTCAGTGACTTGAGCGAGCCCTCAGTGACTTGAGCGAGCCCTCGGCCGACGTGTTTCCCGGCCCCTCCCTGTCGCGCGCTGCCTGCCGTCCCAACGCATGACCCACCACCATCGCAATGACGTTGCCAAAGCACCATCCTGTTGCGAAATAATGCCAACCATCTGCTAAGCCATCTATTCCGGCAGGTGTGGCCGGAGAGCGATGGATGAGACACTTGAGGTTGATCATCTGTTTCCCGAGCTCGTATGCCGTCTTTGACGTCATGTCCTGCCAGAAACTCCGCCGTTGTGAGTTGCTGCAGTCGATGACGAGCTCGGTGTGGTGCTGCAGGACGGCTCCGCTGAGGGGGGAGGGCAGGCGCGGCTTGAGGCACCACACGGGATTCACCAACGCATACACACCGATGTGCAGCTCCCGAGGCTGCACACAAGGATAAAAGATGCAAAGGAATGGAATTCAATGCAGCCATCTCTTGTCAATGCATTCTTACCATTTGGATGCCCGACCAGCCCTGCATCCGAATGGCCTGTCGTTCAGCATCAAACCAACAGCAAACAGAAGAGGTCGCACACCCGTGCAACCATTGGATGATGTTGCTTGTGATCATTACCTTGACTGCCGCAACAGCCTCATTATCAGCCGCACCGCCACCAGGGGCATCATCGCCATCAGCAGACGGTGAATTGGCTTCAGCGTGGCCTTCAGCGTGGCCACCACTACCTGCAGAAATGAGATGCATCAGCAACAGCCGAAGAATGCACCATCAATGGCCCTCAGTACCTGGCTGCCGGGCGACTGGCCGCCAGATCTGCCGCTTGCGAGCCATGCTTGAGCGTCAATAGGGATATCTACCACCCGGCCTACCCATCGTGAAAAACGGCGGCGGAACGGCGAGGGATTCTGCGAGCTCTCGGCCAGGAAAGCATAGCAAGAAAGACAAACGACGAAGCAGGGTGGACCTCTCGCAGCACCGGCAACCTCCTGCTTTTCGCGTATCTGCTCGAATCTTCGGGTCATCGCTCTCCAGGTGAGGCAACGAGCAGCAAACGAGAGGGTGATCTGCCCAGGAGAAGAAGCAGCAGCATGATCATTCAATGAAGCATCAGTAGCAATCATCTGTTGCTTTGTGTGTTGTGTTGTCTTGTGTTGTGTTGTGTGTTGTCAGATGAAGCGTGGCTTCCTGTTGACAAAAGCCCAGCAGAGGGCCGCATCGACTCAGTCTGCCGAGGAATCAGTTAGTCCTGAGCCGAAACGAAAGGTACAACACACAATGACGTTCCTGAAATGCCCCTAAATGACACAGTGCTCTGTCTGTGTTCACTCAGGCGAAGCCTCCTCCTCGTGTGTCTGCGGCCGTCAAACGGCACTATCCGCACCTCGAGCACGCCTGCGGCCGGCCACTTCTTCTGCTGCAAGCCTCCCTCGGCCCCTCGCTCTTCCTCACGCCCACCCCTGCCAAGGCCCGGTGTCTGGTCATCGACTGCGCCCACAGAAACACCCGCCGTATGTGGGAAGCGGTTTCTCTCGAGGCGGCATACCAGTGGGGCATGGCTGCCAGGACTCTCGAGAAGATCGTCATCCGCTACCCAAAGCCAGCGGTTTCGCGGCGGGAGCGCAGCAATGCACCAATGTGGTGTATGGGCATGTGGGTGGCGATCCTAGAGGGGCATGCACACGGGCGGCAGCGGGCCGTCGCCGTGAAGAACAAGGCAGACAAGAAGGGCAAGGGCGAGATGGAGGCGACCGGCAGCAGCAGCAGCAGCAGCAGCAGCTCTCAAGCGGCGTCAGTGGCAGCTTGCGATGGGTCGCTGCGGGTGCTGGAGTTCGAGGCGGTGGACATGGGAGGGCCGCAGGAGTGGGAGAATGAGGACGACTACAATGTGCCATGCTCGGCCCCCTCTTCACAGCCCCTCCCTCCCAAGACTGATGGTGGTGTCCCTCCCCGCATCCTTCCCGTCCACCTGCCGGCCCTCACGGAGGTCCGCAACATGCCCGTCGAAGTCGCTGCTGTACGCATGGACCGCTCTTGGTGCGATCGATCGACACACTCCCACGAGAGTGAGGGATCAGGCGTCCCTGGTGTGTGTGTGTGTGTGTGTGTGTGCAGGCATACGCCTGGCATTCGAGTCTTCACCGTTGGCAGCCACCGCATCTACCCATCGGTCGAGCTGCTCTCGTGGGCGCGGACTAAGTCCCCGTTCCTGGAGCGCCACGTGGAGGAGCTCGCCCGCATCGTCCCCCGCGTCACCTATCAGGGCCGACCCGAACCACACCAGCCGGCCGCTACCGCCATGACACGATCGACCTTCCCCCGAGCCGACTGCTTCCACCTAGCTGCCTATTCGCTGACGCGCTACACGATGCGCCGGGCGGTGTCCGTGGCGACGGCAATCGGCAAGACCTACATCCGCGTGTCTGGGGAGGAAGGGGAAGATGCGGCTCCCAGGGAATTGGCTGTCGAGTTCCTCAAGGCACTACAAGCAGCCCGGCTGAACGAGGGCAGTGAGACGGCACTGGACGTCCACTATGCATTGTCGCTGGGCGGCGAGGACGTGGGATCCTTATGGGAGACGCATGCTGTCGAACTGTCCCCGATCAGATGCCTGGAGCTGTGGATTACCGGTACGTACAGATACGTGGCTATGGAGAGGGTCCTGTGCATGTGTGTGGATGTGCGCCGCTCAGATACGTTTCCACCGGGCGCCTGAGACAACGAGCGTCGGGCCTTCATCGAGACCGTCAGCAAGAACCTCCTGGCAATGCTCACGGCGTCCACCCGCCTCGGTGGCCATCGAGAGACGTACGTCCGCTTCTTCAGCCTCCGTGGAGATGTGCGTGACTATTTTGCGCGGCACCATCTGTCAGACGACTTCGACGAGACGCCTTACACATTCACCTTTGATGGCACGTCCCTGAGCCTGCGCAGGCGCAGGTGGGGAAGCGAAGGAGGGAAGGGGAGGATGACTCATTGTCTTCATTGCCTCCTTTTGTGCAGGAGAGGCGTGTGATTGAGAGCCATTATTTGGTGCGTCCAGTGCATGCCCCGTGCTCGAGTCATGCCTGTCTGTCTGTCGGAGACGCATGGATACAAAAGGGATTGTCCCTGTCGATCTCTGGGCAATCCTATTGGCTCGCTGCACATCTAATGGGGCAAACGCAGAGGAAGAGTGTTTTGTCAGGCGGGTGATTGGATACATCGCATTTCGTGTTTGGTTTTTGATCAGCCCATCAATGAATGGTCCATCCATCACACACGCACAGTCGCCAGGCTCAGCAGATCCTCGCACTCGTCACACCACTCACACACACGCCAACCATCGAAACCACCACTCCCACCAAGCAGCACCCAGACCGCTATTGGGGCTGTGTGGCTTCATGCGCTGCACATGGCAGAGCTTGGCGGCAATGGCGGCAAGGCACGAGTCACACACGTTCATGAAGCCGCTGTGTCTCTTCCTGTGGGACATTTGCTCCTAAGGCGCCACACCTGGGCAAGGTCGGTGTAGCCTGCAAAGAGAAACAATGCAAATGTGCCTTTCCATCTCTGACAAGTGTACCGGCTAGGTGGTCGGGAGGCATAGAGTCCTCAGGCACGGCCGGGACGGGCGGATCTGCAAATGCACACATTTAGTGTGTGTGTATGTGTGCGTGTTGGTCTCGGTGCCCGTGTGTGTGCTGTCCTCACTCACCGTAGATATGCAGCCGCACCCTCTTGACGATCGGCCCGCCCCTGTGCATATAGGCAGGGGATGCACATCAGGGCGTGGCGTGTATTGGATATGCACGTGGCGTGACGTACCCGTATCGCGTCACCCAGAAGCGCCAAATGGAGGAGTTGACACCGCTGCACACATATAGATGGTACACTGATACGTCTGAATGCCTGTGTCGGTATCGATAGTCTGTCGAACACACGAGGCCACTGCGCAGACTGTCCTGTAAGGAGGGAGGACATGTGCACTGATGAGCTTCGTCTGCTCGCGTATCTGTGTGTGAGTGCTCCTACCTGTCCGTCGAAGAACACCTCATTGGTGATCCGGCCAGGCAGGGGGCCCCTGCACACATTCACACAGATATACGTGTCGGTCGGCCTAGTGTGAGGGCGTGTACCGACCTCCTTCTGACGAATGTCTTTCAGGTGTCAATCCACTGGTTGTCGACCAAATAGTAGCACTCCTGCACACACACGGTAAACGCACACACACGCCACGCTAGAGTGTGTTGATGGATGTGTTCGTACGGCGTATGTCGTGTCGTATTCCTTGATAAACGAAATCTCGTCATTTCTCCTGCGGCGTATGAGTTGCTGCATTGCACAAGTAAAGACGCCACACACGCTTGGATAGACCCGTCGACTACGTCACGGGGCATGTGTCTGTGCCTACCTCTTCTGAGGGTGTGGTTTCGATGATGGCTGTCGGGGCGTCCTCTTCTTTGACACCAACACCGTACATGGCCGCATTGATGTTGAAGGCCTCCTGCTCTCGGGCGTCGGCCATCTTGAGGGCAGCAGCCATGCAGGCCGCAGACGCGCCGAGCCGCTTGCGGCGATAGAAGTCGACCATGCGGCCGATGTGGTCGGGCTGCACCACCTCCACTGCAAGTGAGGACCACTTGGTGTGTGTATGCATCGATGGACGGACACGACTACGTGTGTGCATGTGTGTGCATGTGGATGTGTGTGTATCGTGCTTACAGATCGAAGCGATGGCTGAGGGCGATGTCGCCCATCTCGTCAAGGGTGGACTGCACGGTGGAGATGACCTGGCCACACACCTCCACTGAACGAACAGCATCGCCTCCACTCATGGGCAGCAGGAAAGGCGTGACAGCCTGACGCGCACACACGCACACACACAGTCAGCTAACACAGTGAGTGCATCAGATGACCATTTCTACCCACCCGGATTTCTTCATCAATCTTTGCGCGCCGTCTCTGGGCGTCCCGCAGCTGCTCCTCCAGCCGGGCCTTCTCAGCGAGGACCCCCTTCATGACGGCATCGACCGTCTCGGCGCCGCTGTGTGTGGCCGTCACCTGCAGCTCTTGCACGGCACTGCTGGAGGCCTCAGCGGCCGTCTTATCGAGCGTCGACATCATCCACCTGACCCAAAAGTCAGGAGTTCCGGTGTAGTCCCGCTTGGCCGCGTCGTCGAGCAGGTGGTCGACCGACGCCGCCTTGCCCGCACTGCGAATGGTTTCGGCATCGAGTATGGCCTTGTGGATGGTCTTGAAGGCCTCCGGGTCCATGTCAAGGAACACCCGCTGCGCATCGTCCTTGACCAGCCGGCTGTCCCAGCTCCCCGACAAGGGCGCCGCCAGGGGAGTCCCCTCCACGCCATCCCCCTGCGTCATGTGCCGCCGCGACACGCTCATCAGATGGCCGCCCACATTCAGCAGCAGCACGTCGTTTGTCGCCTCGGAGGTCGCAGGCGGGTCCAATGCGCCGTGCCTCTGCCTCTCATGCAGGGCATCGTCGTCAGCCTGGCGGATCTGGGCACGCAGCTCGATGATGGCGTCGCTGATAGAGGTCACGGGATCTCCCAGCTTCGAGAAGATAGCATGCACGCTGAAGTCTTGAGTCGCCGACTCAGCCTGACCCTCCATTGCCGCTGCACCTCCGTCCTGATCAGTTGCTGCAACTGCACGCAGCAAAGGAAACCAAGCAAAACGAAAATGGCCAGATCTGATCCATTGTCGGCCGCTCTGGCCTCTCGCACTTACCTCCAGTGCATTTGTTGCCCATATTGGCTTCGCACTCTCTTCCACTGCGAGCTTAGACAACGATCGGTCCGTTCTTCCGCCTGCGCTTGTGCTTCTCTCCCCAGACTCCATGTTTCTGCCGTCAGTGTCGATGCTGCAGCATAACCTCTCGTCAAACAGACGATGAAGGCCTCCTTCTCGCCGTTGGTCATTGCTATCATCATGACGCGCTTCCTCAGTGGTCATGCAGCTGATGATGCCGGCTCTGAAGCGGTGTGCCCGAATCGGATGATGGGTGAGGACTCTCTGCGGCCATCGGAGTGTGCAGAAGAGGCGGCTGGCGATGCGATGGACAACCTGCGAGTGAGTGGGTCTGACGACAGGCGCGATGAGGGTGCGGGGGAGTTTCGGGCAAAGGAGGGGGGAGGGAAGGAGAAAGACAAAGATGCAATACCGCTGATCATTAAGGTGAGCTCTCTGAGGCAGACACATGCACTCATTTCCTTCTGGATGGTGTGCTGTGGTGTGGTGTGGTATTTGTGTTTGCCCGTGTGTGTGTCATTCAGATAACAATGATCCTCACTGGCATTCTGAATTTCATCCTGATGGTCGGCACGACCGTCAGTCTCATACAGAGCCTGTGAGTGATGGCCCTGGGCGGAGCAAGCCTTGTACAGGGAGAGTCATCGGCTTGCTGTGCTGTGAGCTCTGCTGTGCTGCTGTCGCCATCATGCCACTATGCGAGCAGTCGGTTTCTATTGGTCGGTTTGTCGGAAGCGTATCCGTCTTGTGTACAATCGTGCGTTCATCTCATCCTGCTTGAGGGGGTGTGTAGTCCGTGTGTCTGTCTGTCTGTCTGTCTTTCTGTCTGTCTTGGTACAGCTGATGCTTCCTTCATGTGGTTGACAGACGTTTTCTTACTTCGTCTGGTTCATGCGAGTGTACGCGTAAGTGATGTGATGTGATGTGATGAAACAGACGTTTTGACTGCTGCATCTGGAGACAGGATGCAGCACCTGAACACCCTGAAATGCTGCGCATCTTACAGCAGGGGGCTGGGTTTTTTCGTCATCATCGATGCACGATGGCCCTGGAGTCCATTGCAAAAACGGTGAGCCCTCGTAGATTGACTTCTGCATGTATCCGGAGAAAGCTTTAAGACACCAGCGCGTCTCAGGCTGCACCTGCATGCAGAGGCCCACTGGTGCCCACAGGTGCCCACATGCGACCAGCTTCTTCAAAGTTGTCTTTTTCCCGTCGTTCTCGTTTGCAATGCGGTTCTCTCGTCGTTCTTCCCGGCCAAGCTCTCGCAGCTGCAGCGGCCAGGCGGCAATGGAGGCCGAGGACTCCCCTGTCACGGATGCCACTGAGTCCTGTTCATCGAGCAGGGGCCAGTCCTTCAGATCTCGGCTGAGACAGCAGGGGATCAATCATGCACCGATGCGGCCCAAGGGGGGGACGCCGGGCGTCCCGCCCCTCCACATCTACGTCTCACAGCCGTCTTTCCATCCTCCTGGCGATTTGCAGCGGCATCCGCATATCAGCAGTCCACCGTTTGCTCATTCATCGCCTGTCCGACCGCCCATCGCAGCGGCCGCACCGTCTCGTGCCTCTGCCCCTGTGGCCCTCCCCCTCCCTCCTCCAGCCACTGGATGCCCGGCTGCTGCTGTCCCCGCGCACGCAACGGCCACCCCGTCCTTTGCCCCACAGGCGCCGGTGGGGCAATTCAGAGTGTCCCACCAGCAGCCCTCTTCGCCGCCTGGCTTCCCCTCCCCCAATGCCGCAGGCGCAGTGGTGCCGAACAAAGTGCTCATGAGTCCATGGAGGATGGCTCAGCCCTCGGCAGCAGCCTGTGCCGTCCCTGTGAGGCCTGAGAGGCAGCTGGGGCTGGGTGAGGGCCCGGGAAAGGACGACAGTGTCCTGAAGGAGCTCATGCAGAGAAAGGAGAAGGTGTTTGGCCATCTGCAGCAGCTCGCACAAGACTTCAGGTCGACGCTGGACCGGAATCGGCGGGTCACTCCATCCCCCAGCAACCATTCGTTGTCTCTTTCCCTGACGGATCAGAACAGCTGTCTCTCCAAGATATCGTCGCTCGTGCTGCCCTCGAGACGGCAGATGTCCCCAGCACCAACACCAGCACCAATACCGACTCAGATCCATGCGACCACTCCTTCCTTTGAGTCGCCGGTTCTAAGGCGGAAGGTCACTCGAGACGTCGCTCTGGGCCCTGATGAGAAGGATCGACTTATGTTCTTGCTGGGGGAGAGGCGAAGCACAGAGACACAAACCGAAGTGGACGAGCCGGCTCGAAGAGACAGTTCAGAAGAGAGCTCGCAGGACGAAAGGACGTCATCGATGCTGTGGGAGGTGCGGCTGGCCGAGAAAGAGGCTGAAGTCGCCAAACAGCTGGTGGAATCTTCCCGATACCGGGAAGCGCTGGGGCAAGTTCAAATCGTGGTGAGAGATCTGATGAAGAGACTCGAGCAGGGGCTGCTAGCCGGAAACGAGGCTGACGTCAAATGGGACGCACTGGTGAGATCAATGGCATAGGTCTCTGCCCTTTATGTGTGCGTTTCTACATCCGCACTTTGCTGTCTTTTGGCCAGAATGAAATTCACCGCCAGCTGTCGTCCTTGGGTTTTGACGACCCAAACGCCCTCGAGAGGCTCGACGTGGACCTCAAGGCCCACATCCACTCCCTCCTCTCGCAGAATGAGCGCCTCATCAAGGCCAAGATCGGCGCACAGCTTCTCCAAGTCTCATCTTCGCCAGACAGCCGCCCTCTTAAGAAGAGCCGCATCGTTGAAATGATGGAGGGCAAACCATCGAGAGAGATGCGAGCGCTCGAGCCGGCATGCGAGCCTTCCCCAGTGTGGCGAGAACAGGAAGCTCCCGCTCTCAATGCCCATGCAGATGTCCGCACTCAGCCCATGCAGCACACGGATGTCAGTCCATCGGCCCAAGCGCTTCTGAAGCCCAAGCCGTCCCCCGAGATGCCGCCGGCTCCCTCTCCCCCTCCATGTCTCTCGCCAATGTCTCCGTCGAGCCCATGCCGACTGAGCCCCCCACTCCCGCCCAGCAGACGGCACGAGACACCACAGCCGAGGAACATTGAGAGACACAAGGAGGAAAATTATGGCGATCTGGTCCGCATGGCGACTTCCGCGCTTGAGGACTCGATCGCAGATGAGGAGAGGAAAGAGAAGATATGGGCGGCCGATTGCATTCTGGAGGAGCTGCACGCGTTGAGAAGGGACATGGACGACCTGCGGTCGATGCAGAGGATGGAGGAGGCCAGGAGGAGGGAAAGGCCTGGACACCAGACCGATACAGCTGCCGCGAGAGGAGGGATGGAGGATCTTTGGGCCTTAATGAGGCAGCACAACGATGAGGAGCAGCCGGAGTATTGGGAAGACCGACGCGTCAGCCCCGCTGACTCTGTCCACTCGCCTGTCTTCGGGCATCCCACACTGATGTCGCCTGTGTCTCGTGAATCGTCAAGGGACGAAGGGAGAGCCGTCGAGACACACGAACAGCCACACAATTCGGTACGACTGGAAGAAAGAAAGCGACACGAGAAAGCGAAAAGCAATGTGTGTGTCTTGTTGCTGCAGCATGAAGACAGCTCACGGACCTCCAGTGTGTCGTCACCGCACCATCGGCAGCAAGAGGTAGACAACAAAGGAGACACACCCAAGCCTAGCTGCGAATGTGCGTGTGTGTCCCTCACCAGGTCTCCCGGCCCGTCTTTGCTGCCCCATTTTGTCCTCCCCCCATCAAGGCGTTACACTTGTATCCGAGACGGGGCAGCAGCGCGTCACGTGTGGGCAAGATAGTCGCGGTCAACCGGCCGATGCCGCCACCGCTGTTCGACGTGCGGTGTTTGCTGGGTTGCAATGGCGAGAGGGGGGACCACCTGCAGGTGAGCTGGGTGGGGGAGGAAATATCTGCCTGTGTGTATGTTGGATTGTGTGTGTGTGTGTGTGGGTGGGTGTGGGTGTGTGGGTGTTGATGCAGGGGTCGTTTCTGCCTGCTCATGGCGATGCGATGGGTTCGTCCGAGGCGTGTGAGTGGACATTTCGAATGAGGGGATGACGGGATGGTTGATGAGGTCATGTGTGTGAAAGCTGCCGAGGGGCAGCCCATCAATGGCGTGGTGTGGTGTGGCTTTGCGGGGTCGCTTATACCAACTGTGGCTTTGCAGACAGACAAGCAGCAATTCACACACACAGAGACAGTCACGCAAGGCATGTACTAAGCACGCCCGACTGAATGTGCGAAGCCGCCGTGAATGCTTATCAGCATCGAGTGCACTTGGTCGAGCTGCACAAGATGTCGACGCACATTCATGACATGGGCGGCTCGGTTGGTTGCCGTCCATCGATACGTTGCGCCCACACTAGTGCGTGCCAGGTGTGAGTGTCACGACCAGACTCGTCAAGAAACAACGCATCCTGGCAGCACCGTAACATCGCTCGCAAAATCCTATGTACACATGCATGTATCGCAACTCGAGCCACAAGACGCGGGCGGGCTCCTTCTCAAGCACGTCCACGCACCCACACAACGCAATACAACACAATACAATGCAATGCACACATGTGAGTCGCTGCTACTCATGGCTACTGTCTTCTCCTTCTCTCGTCGATGTTATTTATCATTGCTCGTACTCGGTGTGCAGCACCTCCACGTCGTCAATCTGGAAGTGGTAGCTGCCTCCCAGCACCGCGTCGCCGTCAAACGTGTCAGACACAGCACCCTCGTACCCATCCGGCACCTGACAGACAGACAGACACCCATACACACACCATGCCAATAAATACCCTGTGTGGTGGCCTCCTTGCCTCCTTCCTTGTTGAGCTGCCTACGTCGTAGTGTGCGATGCCCTGCAGGCAGCTGCGGAGGTCCGTCGACTCATCCGCGCCGTCGCCCGCATTGGCCATCGTGTGTGCGAAGCGGAGGTACCCGTTGGTAAGTCGGTAGCTCTGGTGGAGCGCCTTGCCGATCACCTGCTTGACACATGGCGAATTCATTGACGGCATCCATCGTGTAAGATCTTCTCCTACCAGCTTGGCCTTGCCCATGTTAGCCGTGTCAAACGCGTCAGTGCCCGCCACCCACACACGGTGGCGGTTGGCGGCGATGGGAATCTTGGTGCAGCCCTCATCAAAATGACCTACACACACATACGCGCACACACGCGATGCTATCGGTGCTGTGAAGCTTTGGCCGTGTGGCTGTTTCTGGATGGATGGATGGACCCACCTTCGAGTGAGAAGAAGAATACGGGGCATTCGTAGGTGTTGACCGTCGTGGAGTCGGCCGGGGGCGTCAGACCGCCATCGACATGGCAGCCGAAGAGGTACTCGTCCTTGCGAATGATGAACGCGAGGCCCTTGGCGTCACCCACACACTCGAGCAGCTTGCTCAACGCCCAACCGTGCTCTCCACCTCTGCATCAGACACAGGCACACAACACGCATCAGTGTGACCACTCCACCTGCTGCCCACTTTCCCCTTCTCTCTCGCTGCATGACCCATCTCACTCACGCACCTGTACAGAACTCTCACACTGGCCACCTTTTTGCTGTCGACCATGCGGACCACATCCATGAGCTGCGATGCGGATGCCAGGCTGGAGGGGTTGGCCATGAGGGAGGCGCCCAGCTTGAGCATGGGCTCCAGCGTCATGCCGCAGCGCTCGACGACGAACTTGAGCGATCGGTTGAGGGGGCGGGGCGCGTGTGGGGGGTCGATGACGGTGCTGGGCGCGGACAGTCGCTGGCGGCGGGCGAAGTCGATGGCGCTCTGGAAATGCGATGGCGAGGTCTCAGTCACGTCGCCTACCCACCTGCAGGAGACACACACGGCACACAACACAATACAATACACCAAATGGACGGAATTGCCCCTCCCTCATTTGTTGCCTGCCTCCCTCTCCTCCGTTGTTCTCGTACGTGGTGTTGAATCGATGGTGCAGTGCCCGGTGAATGTTGGGCTGCGTCAGTGTGGCCTCGACCGTCGCACACAGGTGGGACCGCACCCTCACACACATGACCTCCCCCGTCCCACCCGTCGTGAGGTAGCCCCCTATCGTCTCGTACAACTTGGTGACGGCCGCCGCGATGCGCTGCGTCTTCTTCAGGGCGCTCCTAAATGCATCGGCCGTGCTCTCCATGCCCGCATCCCTCGCCCACCGGAGGAACTGCCGCTCCTCCACCCCCTCCCCCGCATCCTCCCCCGCCGCCTCGGTCTCCATCTCCTCATCATCGTCAAGCACCAGCTTGTTGTCGATCAGTGCCTCGTGGTAGAACCGGATGGACACATCCTCACTCTCGTCACCCGTCAGGTCGGTCACGAACCGCCCGTCGCCTTGCGCCATGGCGGCGCGGTCCTCCAACCACAAACCGAACGACGGACTGGCGTCCAGGAACGGCAGCGGGCGGCCGTCGGGTGTCGTCTGCTGGGCCTGAATGATCCGGGGGAGGGCGTCGGTGTGGCTGCAAACATAACAAGTAGTGACATAGAAAACGATGAGCCTCTCTCCACACCATTATGTGGACGTACCGGAGCAGCAGGATGGAGCAGTAGGTGTCGCGGATGCCGTCCATCTTCAATGCGTCGGCGCCAATGACCACCGTGCGCCCTCCAACGTTCACGTACATGTCCCCCGTCACCGCTTCAAGTGCGTTGTCGTCGAAGAGCGTGCCTCTGTGTCGGCCGATCTTGTCTGCGATGCCATCCACGACGCTCTTGACCTGGCTCATGCCGTCGGCTGATGAGGACGCTGCCGAACGGGAGAGGGCCTCGCTGAGGGAGGAGGAGGCCTGCTGGGCGGTCTGGACAGAGGATTGCAGGATGCTGTTGAGTGATGACGCCATCTTGTAGGCGAGTCTGACTGGAGCTCGGAAATTTGCAATCGCAGGATCACAGACGACGATGGCACTGCAGAAAGACAAGCTGCACTTCGAGAGCCCCTTGCGAACGCCGTTCTGTCTTCTGGGCTCCTAGGGTGCTTCACGAAACCGCTGCTGCGATGATGATGATTGCATATCCTCCTCTCTGCTGCATCTGCCCTCTGCGTGCTGCGTGTTGCGTGTCCGGGTTGCATGTTAGGGTGCCTGTTTCATGTTGGACAGACCGACAGGGGACTTGGCCGTCAGGCCACCTAGGGTGCTCCCTGAAACCGCTGCTGCTGCGAGCTGAGAAAGATTTCCGCGCGGTTTTCGTCAGATCCCCTTGTCACCTGAGAAGAAGTCGCACTCACTCACCCAACCGCAATGGCGACGAATGCGCCGACCGGCACGCACACGCCCAATGAGCGGTCGGTGGTCGTATCCGGCAAGAAGATCCCGCCTCCCACACGCACGGACATCTTCACCGACGCCGTACAGGCCTTGTCTGGCAAAAGCGCTGCTTGCGGGGACAGACTCGTGCAGATCTTACGTGCCTGGGACACCGATGGAAACGGTGAGGACGATGAGGACGATGGCTGTGTGACGTGACGCAGGGGAATGTGTGTGCTGTATATGCAGGGAAGTTCGATGTGGCTGAGGTCATTCGAGCTGCGCAGCACATCGAGTCTGAGCAGCGGAAGAGCAAAGGCCTCAGGTGGCTCATCGCTGCCATGTGCGTCATGTACCTCATCACAATCGGTATGCAGCCGCCCATCCACCCACACCTGAGCACGCCACAGACACAGCCCAGCCCACACAAGAGTAAAACAAACATCTGCCGTCGATCTGTTCCCATCCCATATGCTCCTCAGTGATCTTCTTTGCGGTTGCGTACGGCGCCAACGAAGTATCAGAGGACTTCCGTATCGACAAGAACACTGCCGACCTGGGCACCAAGAGAAGGCCCCGCAACACCGTCCTCACCAAGCAGACATTCGACGGCGTGGACATGTTCGATTTTCTCACAGAGGACCTGGAAGACCTGGTGAGGAGTGCGTGGGGTGAATGATGGCACACGCTTCAAATGATGGATGCCACGCCAGCCCGATCATCCTCTCGGCTGTCTGTCTGTCTGTCTGTCTGTCTCTTGTGGGTGGCTGCATGCAGTACAAGGTGGAGAGCCTGTACCTTAACTACACTGCGGGCGAGGGACAAACCGTCGAGAAGTACTTCAGAATATCCGGTGGGTGAGGGGACAGGGGACAGGGCGGAGGGAGGGAGGGAGGGAGGTCGGCATCTTCTGCATGAGGGTTTTGTGGTGTCACTGTGTGAGTGTGCAGAGATTACCCGGAACAAGGCGACAGACCTTGTGGAGGTGAGTAGAAGCGAACAAAAGGCGTCCAGCGAATCGAATCCACAATCTGTCTGTCTGTCTGTCTGTCTGTGTATTCCTTCTTCCTTCGAACGAACCCGAAGGTGAAGTTCCTGACGGGATCTAAGCTGCAAATCATGTCCGAGGGCGCCAACCTGATCCTCGCCGGTGACAATGATACGCAGCCCGTGACCCTCTTCGAGGGGCCTAACTACACCTTCGACACCAAACGACTCGTCTGGTAAGCCTTGTCTACCAAAAGACCCATCCATCCATCCACCGGCCGGTCTGTTGTGTGTGTGTGATGCCTGCCTGCCTGCCTGTCAGGGATGAGGATGGCGACGGTGTGCCTGACGACGAGAGCCGCATCGTGCAGGCCAACGCCACCAACGGCGATGTCAACGGCACCGACGGCAGCCGCAGGCGGCTGGCACCCACAAGATTCGGCAACCCAGGGAGAGGCAACATCTTCTTCAACAGGTCAGTCAGCTCTCGCCCACCCACCAGTAGCCCTCTTCTCTCCACGCCGCTTTGCCACACCTTGTGTGTGTGTGTGTGTATGTGCCTTCTTTGTTTGTGTCAGTGGTCGGCTCTACGGTCGTGGCATCAACGATCTGGGGGCGTCGCGGTTCAACGCATTGGCGGTGCGCGGCCGGTGTCTCGGCACACGGTTTGCCTGTAGAGGCTAGATGAACACAGACATACACATACACATAGCTACACACTGACTGACCGACCAGCAGTGTACTTCTGAGAGGGAGGGAGACAACGGGGTACGCGTTTATATACCTGTATGTATGTATGTATGTATGTGTAAGTGCTCATATCCATGTGTGGGCGTGGGCGAGACCGTTGCCCGTCGCTTCTTGATATCTGTCTGTCTCTCTGTCTGTCCGTGTGCACCTCCGCCTATCTCTGCCTGTATCGTGAGTGTGAAATGTGTGTGCCATGGAAAGGATCCATCCATGTGTTTATTGGGTATAGTAAGGGTGTGTGCGTGGGCGCAAACGCACCAGGCTGGCCACGAAGGTTTTCTGCTCGCCTGCCCGCCTGCTTTGCGTTGCTTTTGTGTGCAGCCGATATAGAGGCAGCCACACAGACAGACAGACAGACAGACACACAGACAGACAGACAGACAGACAGAAAGACAGAGCCACCGTCCTCTCTCTACGCTGACGATGACAGTCAGCGGCCTCTCTCTGTTGCCAGCCAGTTAATCGGAATAAGGAAATTGTCTTCCCTCAGTGGCCTCGATTCCCTTCCGTGGCTGCTTTGCACTTGCGTGTCCTACCTGCGGCGCAAGGTATCCGAGCAGCTTTGCCGCTGGCTCGGATGAGCTTGGGCCGCAGGCGGGGAACGCTGGTGTAAGGCGGTCTTCAGACGGTGATCGAAGCTCAGGGAGGGAGCGATATGGGCAAGAAACAGTTAGAGAGTTTGGTTTGGTTGGGATTGGTCGGGGTTGTCTGTGCGGCGGGGCCGTTCACATGATGGCATGCATGGTTGGCACCCAGTGACGTGGTGCAGGCCTGCATGGAGGCGGGCAGACCGACCAGACAGACAGACAGACAGCCAATACAGTGAGGCCTCTGACGGGTTTAGTGCGGCCACGCCCCATCGACCTCTCGTGCGTGTCTTTTTGCTTTCTTTCTTTCGATCCGCTTTATGTCGCTCTGCCGAATTGACGTCTGTCTGCCTGCGTGTGGATTGGATGGAGGTGCTGTGCACCCCGTGTGTGTGTGGTGGCGATCGCTGTAACGTATTGCTCTCTGCCCTTTTTCTGTCTGTGGGTCGGTGGTAGCATAGCGGTGTGTGTGCTGTCGGCTGTCTGCGAAGACATTCGATGGACGAATGAATGCACTCAATCAGCCTAAACGATGGCATATGTCATATAAATGTCATGTGGCAACGAACGAGTCGCAAACACACACACACACACACACACAGACACAGCGGGCAGGGGAAGGTGAGTCGTGAGTGGCGAGTGGTGAGTGTGGTGGGTGCGTTGGCACAGAGGGCCCTTATGTAATTTGATACACACAATGAAGCACACGCAAGGCAGCTCCGATGGATGGATGAGTCATGCCGACCCGACGCGTCACAAACCTACAACCATCCGCACACACACAGACACGCACAGCATAGCACAGCACACGGTGCGGTGCACAGGCAGGGGGGGCAACAAGGAGGGGTATATGTACACGCCACCCTCCCACCTCACACAGCCCGGCCCGGCCCGCAACACACACACACACACACACACCGACCGTGAAGATGCACGCAGTCACCCCATCTGTCTGTCTGTCTGTCTACTGCTGCATGGTGTCATTCTCTCCGCCACCATTATCCTGCTGCTCGCCCTCCTCCTCCCCCTGCCCCGCCCCCTCTCCCGCCCCCTCGTGCAGTGTGTCCATGTCGATGTCCTCATCGCTAACGAACGACTCGTCCATCTCGCCGCTGGCGTGGCCGGGACGGTAAAGGAAGAACACACCGTCGCGCGTGAACTGACCTGACACACACACACACACACGCACAGATGGATGGACGGATGGATGGATGGCGGTGGCTGACCGTCCTGTACCTACCGGTGTTGCAGAATAGGGTGCCCTCGTACGTTGTCTGGAAGGGCGACGTCATGTCACCCAACAACACCTGCTCACATAACACGTCATGGTATGGGTGCAGTTGTTTCTTCCCACTGCCTGGCTCACCGACCGACCCACCAACCCACTTACTGTGTGCGGCATTGGGTAGAGCGCGAGTGTGTAGTCAAAGTCCCAGACAACCGAGCGCACCTTCAAAGGCACCGGACACACGTGGCCGCTGTCAGCCAAGGTGCGCACCACCTGACCAGTATCACCATGCACAGCACACGAATCAGATGAGGTCGGTCGGGTTAGGTCGGGTGGTTCTTCCCTCCCCATATATCCGAGTGACTGACCTCCATGTGTCTGTCCTTGTCCTTGGCGCCGGGGTCGAGGTTGGCGAAGAGAGCGAAGCGGTGCAGCAGGCGGTGCAGGTTCTGGCGAAACACCACGATCTCGCGGTGGAAATGACGCACCCTGCAGGGCACACACACAGACACGCACACACACACAGAGGGTGGGTGGATCGATGTGATGTGCCCCTCTCTCTCCGACCTGACTGACCTGCAGGGGTTGGTGGCCATCTCGACGCTGTCAGGGAAATGCACTGCACAGACAGACAAACAGACACGGGGTGACCATGCCATCGATGGCATGGCCACACAGATCAGATCCCATCACACTCAACACGAACACTTGGTGTGTCTGTCTGTCTGTCTGTGTGTCGCTTACTTCTGAGGTAGTCGGTGAGGTACTCTGCCAAAGGCGGCCGGGGCAGCACATCGCAGCCCGGATCGCTGGGGCCAGGCACGATGATCCATCTCGTATCTGATTGATGCACACACACACACACATACACACACAGACATGTGGCGGTTGGTGAGAGTCTGTGTGTGTGTGTGTGTCGTGCTCACTCACTCTCGGTGAGTTGTGGGAAGGCCTGCATGAGTTCTCGCAGCTTCTCGAAGCCGCCACGATACGCTCGCACACACGCGGCCGTCTGTGTGGACACACACACACACACACATAGGGAAGATGCGTGTGTGTGTGTGGAAATGCTGACTCTGAAGAATGGTTGAGAGGAGAAGTTGCCCATGAGGATGAAGCCAGTGGGAATACCGCCACTAATCACGAAACCTGACACGCTCACACACACACACGCAACACACACGTGTGATGCCTCCCTCGAGGCCGCAAGCCACCTACCCACCCCGCTCCACCTTTGCACAAGTTGTGGAGTCTGCAGAATGTCTCCTCTCTGTCCAGATGGACCTCGCTGCACACCACAAATATCCCCCGCATGTGCGCCGGGCACCGGGCGTCCAACTCACGCATCAACTCCTGGACGAACGATTGATTGGTCCAACCAACCAACCAACCAACACACACACACACATTCACAGACGCGATACACGAGCATTTCAGCTGCTCTCTTCGCTTCGCACCCTGTCCGCTTTGGACACTTTTGCGCCGAACAGGTTGGGCTCGCGTGGACAGTTGGCACAGCTCTCTGCGTCGCATGCACACACACATACAAACAATACATGAGGCCGAGATGGCGTAGTGTGGTGTGGTGTGGTGTGCGTCTTACCAGCCGGCGGGAGTGAGAGGGCACCCACATGCAGCACCTGGACGTTGGTTGACACGATCGTGTGTGGTGTTGATTGTGGGTGGCTGAGTGAGTCCCATGCACGCGCCCCCCCCCCCCCCCC